CACACACACACACACACACATGAAGCAGAAGTGAAGTGACATTTCTAAATGGTAGGTTAGAATCTGTAGATTCTTTTCCCCACCCCTTCCATCTCATTAGCGTCAGTACAGCCACAGGAGCTCGCACGCCCACATCCACATGGGATGGCGTGGGGTGGAGTGGCCAGGGGGACCAGACACGCACATGGAGGAGGCATGTGCCTGAAGCGCAGCAGGCTTTGTGTGAGAAGTGCACTCCGTTCAGCCACTGAGATCTGCAGGATTGTGTCACAGTGGAATCTCGCCTGTCGAGCTATGCCCGGGTTCAGACATGATGGTCATTATGGTCCTCATGGCTGGGAGGGTCATGTAACAGTTCTGGCCCATGAATCGTAGGTGGAGGTCATGGGGCTTGTTTATCTTTTAGGTAAGGTCTTTAAAGGAATTAACTCAGTAAGCACAAGCAGTTTCTCTCTTTACCCTTCCTCTTCTTTTTCTCGAGTGTAACCTGGGGGCTGGACCTAGGAAAGACACTGACAACAAGAGGGCTTGAATTTATCCTAGAAGGACCACAGGGCACAAGGTTGGAATGGGACCACTCTACTGATAGTATCTACGGCAGCTACACTTTGGACTTCCCATGGCTGAGCTCCATTTTGATAAGGGAAAACAAATTTCTGTTTCGTTTCAGAAAACTAGTCAATGGTTTGGGGGTTTCTATCCCTAACTGCTCATCACAAGTTGTTTTGTTTTGTTTCTCCTGTGGAAGCTCTGAACACTTCAGATGTGGGTGAGAAGTTCCCAGTCTTCAGCAACAGTCAGTGCATGGCCAAGTGTGTCTAACTCACACCCCTAAACTACTCAATTTTCTTGTTTCTGTGACAGACTACCTGACCTCCTTTGAAGGAGGATGCGTTTATTTTGGTTCTCAGTTGAAGAGGACACAGTCATCCTGGTGGGAAAGGCGCAGTAGCAGGAGCCCTGTGTCCAGTCATTGCATCTTCAGTCGGGAAGCAGAGAGAGATGAGTCCTGATGTTCACTCCCTCCCTTTGATTCAGTCTGTAACCTCAGCTCCTGGAGTGGTCCTGCCTATGTTCCGGGTGGAGCTCCCCCCAACCCCCGTCAAACCTCTCTGGGAATACTGGCACAGACACATCCAGAGATGTGTCTCCTAGGAGGTTCTAAATCCAATCGCATTGAAAACACCACCATCGCGGCCATATTTCCCCTTCCTGGGTTGGTTCTTGCAGTTAACCCTGCCTCTCTCCTGGATGCCATGCTATCCTCTGCCCACTCTCAACAGGTAAAACTCCTGGGGCCTCCCACTTAACCCCATTTTCTATATTGCTCATGGCCTTAGGTGGTGAGATTTTCATATTCTCTTTGGCTTCTTGTCTGTGTGTTAGGCCTCTTTTAACCACAAATCTTTTTGGCATTTCTTTTTTCCAATGTCTTGGGAGTCAGGAATATTGGCTTTTACATAGTCCCATAATGGAGGAGGGTTCTGGGTTCACACGGGCAATTCCCAGATGCAACACCTGGATACCTTGCAACCTCCGAGCCACACAATCCCCAGATTGCACACTCAGATCCCCTATTGGGGTGAACTCCTGGGAACAAATGGAGGCAGGAACAGGCAGGTACTGTGGTAGTAACTCCGTCCTGTGGATGGGACTGTGCTTCTCCCTGTGTGATAGCATTCTTTCTCTGCTCTTCACTTACCTTCGACCCCCTGTCATCCTCGGTACCCCAACTATGAGAACTCCTTTTGCTCAGATGTCTTTGTGTCCTCGACATAGTCACTAGCAGTGTCCCTTTAACTCTCAGTCACTCTCTTTCACGTCAGATTCTGTGCTAAGTCTTTTATTGTCACATGAACTCATGCGTCACAGCTTGGGCAGGGGTCAGAAACCTTTTCCCCCTTCAGAACAATCCAACTTCTCTATGTGACAGACATTTGCTCCCAGACTTCCCGTCAAACTCCATTTTTAGAGGCAAAACCAGTCAAAGACTGTATTTGCTTAAGGTCTCACATAACTCAGACCGGCTTCATAGTTGGGCCTATTCTTGGACTTTTGATCCCCCTTCCTCCTCCTCCTGAGTGCCAGGATTATGGGCACATGCTATCATGCCCAGCTTCTGTGGTGCTGGGGATCAAACCCAGGGCTTTGTGCATGCTAGCACATGCTAAACTACATGTCTAACCCTGATCAAAGACTCCTTTCCAGACACCAGGCATTTCTCCCCTGATGGGATGTGGACAGGGATTACGTTCTGTCCAATTAATGTTCCTATGACGACATGGCAGTGGCTGTGGCCACCTCATCGTGGATTGGTGTGTGTGGCAAAGAAAAGCAGATGTGGCAGGATGGTGACCTTGGAGCTGTGTGAGCAGAGCTATTGGGTGATTTATCAGGTGAGGAACTTGAGAGCACAGGGTAAGATACTGGGGACAAGGAGACTAGATGCATGCCACCTGGGGAGCCATTGCATGATGGGCCTTTAATGGATACTTAAGAGCCTGTAGCCTGAGCCAGTCTGAGGGTTAATATAGCTCTTTATTACTAGGTGAACAATCTGGGGCATATATCTCCTGGTAATGCATACATCAGCAGGGGAGTAACAAGAGTGAAGTTCCAGGTCCTTCCACCCCTGTCCTGAAGCTGCAGGCCTGGCCCTTCCCTGTTTCAGTGCGCACAGTCACAGGAGTATCTTGGGCAACTTGGTTCTCAGCAAGTGAGGAAAATCTAAAGGGTTTTCCTGTAACCTCACCCCCGCTGAGGAAAGGGGGCTCATTTGAATGGCCGCCACTGGCCACAGGGAAGCCTCTCTCCTCACCCACTGCTCACCTAGTCATTTCCTCTTCCTTGGAGCTTCCCAGTGTACCCCATGGGTCCAGACTGTCCGTGGTTTCTCAGGACCACAGACTACTGGCAGGACACCAGACCTTGTATCTTCCTCCTTCTGGGTCTAGCTTTGAGTCTCCATTGTTTGGACCTGTGTGGTCTCATCTTCCTGCTACATACCTGGTGGGGCAAGAGACCCCGTCTACTTCCCCCTCCGGAGCTCATTCTACCCAAGGGACCAAGATGGGCTGTGGCTTTCTGCTGCCAAGTGTTTTTGACCCGAAGCAGAGCTCCCTCCTGGGCCTAACTTTACTTAGCACCCTTAGGTCAGTGGAGCACACAAAGCCTTGATGACCTTGAACCTGCCTGGCTCGGGTCGGAACTCTTCAAGACTATCTCCTTGTAAGATTACATAGGCTCATTGGAAAGCGTTTAATTCAGCAGTTCCCAATTGTGGCCACACATCGGACTCTTTTTTTTTTCCCGTGTTGTTGTTGTTGTTTTTATTTTTTTGAGACAGAGTTTCTCTGTGTAGCTCAGGCTGTCCTGGAATTCACTTTGCTTACCAGGCCGTCCTTGAACTCACAGAGACTCTCCTACCTACCTCCCTAGTGCTGGGATTAAAGGTGCGCGCGTTAATCCCATTGGACTCTTGATGCCGACCTCATCCCAGCGTACTCAAAAGGAGAATCTCTGGCTGGATGGTATTTTTCAATGGCTTAGGAGAGGCTCATGTTCTACCAGGAGGATCAGAGTCGTCAGCCCTTGCCATCCGTCCCGGGTTTTAAACACCTCTCACTGTTGAGATGGTAACAGCACGGCCTGTCTGGGAGAACTTCCCTCGGGCTCAGCTTCCTGTCTTACCCATCTTGCCTCATTCCTGGCTGTGAGAAGTGGGAGAAGAGCTCTAGCTGGAGTTTGTAGAGGGGTCCCTTGGAAGAACGACATCTGTTCAGAAAGTCAGGTGCCCAAATGCTTCCCCGTCCTCTGCAGCTATGGGAGGTGATGAGAGCAAACTGAACTCTGAGCTCTCGCAGCTGCCTCTGCTACGCTGGAAGCTCCTACACACACACACACACACACACACACACACACACACACACACTTGCACACATGCACACATAGGAGGAGTTGGGATTGGGAAAAACCTTCTCCAGCAGTAATGCCATGAAGATCCCTGCCTCTTGCACACCAGCTAGCTTCCCTTCCTACCTCCATGCAGGGCCAGCCACTCCCAGATTCTAGGGAGCAGAAAATCTGAGGTTTCTCAGATTTTCAGAATGAAGCTCAGACTCCTGAGGGACCCAGTTAAGAGGCGTCTTAAGCTTAGAAACAAGGCAGAAATGAGAGAGATGAGGCCAAGACAGTGAGAGACCAGCAAGCTGAGTTCCGGCAGCAGGTGCTAAAGCTGGCCCAGCAGAGGAGACAGTCCTAGTGGGACCAGTCCAGCTGCTTCTGAGGACAGTAGGATCTGGAGTCTGTGAGCCCAAACCCATGGCCTCCAGTCCTACCCTGCTTGTGTATCCACCCCAGCTGCCCCCTCCACTCCCAAGCCATGCCTGCTTCTCCCAGGGAGTGGCCAGCAGAGGAAACGAAGCCTTGATGCTCAGCCTCAGGGGACAGGGGTAGCAGTCACAGCTGCTGCCCCCTCCACTCAGCTCTGGCTCTCTACAGGGGCTGGCTCTGGAGCACAGCTTCCCCCACAAGCCCACGGGACACATGTGTGCTGCTGCTGCTCCGCTGAGGTGTGCTGTCCTCCTGGCTCCCTGCCAAGCCCTGTGCTGGCCCTCAGGGCCCTGAGGTTCAGGATATGGAATCCCTGTTTTCCCAGTTGGCCCTGCTTTTTAAGCTTTTTTAAGATGCTTAGGCAGGAGCCACAGAAGAGCAAAGTGCAAGGCCTATTCCCATGGTGGAGGGACCCCCATCCATCTGATGGGGGCATCAACACCTGGGCTGAGCCCTGCAGTCCCTTTTGTGCAAGATTGGCTAAGAATGACATTAGGAGCAGGGGCCTAAGATGGGTCTCTGGACAAGGGCACTGTGCCACACTGGGGAATATTTCTCAATGAAAGGTAAGGAAGTTAGGTGCTAAATTCTCTCTGTGGATCCAGTCTGTGGTCAGTAAGTGTCTTTATTGGGAGGGAGATCCAGCCCCCCATGGCTTTGCCAGCATCCTAGGTCATAAGAATTTCGATATCAAGCTCCAGCCGTCTGGCTTTGACCTCATAGTGACCCCGGATCACGCCTCGGGTTTGACTGGCATACCAGCGCCAGTGAGACTGGATGATGCGGGCTGCTTGGCGTGCCTGGAGGAATCGTCTGCGGGTCTGCCACATGCGGACACGTGCCTGCATCTTCACCACTGCCCATTCCTGGCAGGTATAGAGTTTTAGTGCCAAGCACCGTCTTTGCTCCAGCAACTTGGTTTGCACCGACCTCCACCAGCACTGGATGACCCACGCTCCAAGTGCCGCATGCAGTAGTGTTCGTCGGACCACGTTGCCTCGCCACCATGACTGAATCTTTATGGCTGTCTTCTCTAACTGATGGGGGAGGGGACATAGAGATGTTCAGTGAAGCCATGTCTCTGCCATTTCTATCCCTACTTCTAGTACTTGGGAGGAAAGTGGACTTGGCTTGGGCTGTCCTGCCCTGTCGTCTCTAGACCCCATTCATCCAGCCCCTCCTCACCTTTGCACACTGCTCATCCGCCAGGCGGTTCTCTTCTGAAAGGGCTGTGCTCACAGTTTGTACGTCCATGGCCTTGGTCTTTGGAGTCCACTCACCTGTCATTTAGGCTTCCCTAGTTTTCAGCCCCGCCCTCAACTATTAGTCACATGCCATCATTAGACTCCGCCCATCTGCACAGGAGCTTTCTCCTCAGACCCTGTCTGCCTGCATTTTAACCACAGCCTTTCTTCCTTCTGGACTGGGCTCTCTATTCATGTACTCCCATCCTTAGGGTGGACAGTTTGCTGTGGCTTCAGCGACTTCTCAGACTCCTCCCCACCTCCTGGTAGCAGTGGGGAGCCATACAACTTCCTTGCAGGTAAGAATGTCTTTAGTTAAAGGTTCTCAGAGCCATTGGTGGTTTGGGGAGGCTTCAGTGTCAGGGATCCTGGGAGGGCGCTAGGCGATGTGAAACAAAAAAAAAATGTGTATTTTTGTCCACATTTCTTAGCTTTGATTAGAGCGGGCCTCTGCCTTTTCTTCCCTAGACTCCTCTGTCAAGTCTCCTGGGGCTCTGTGTGGAAAGACAGCTTCTTTGGCGATGCAATGAACTGAGCTGGGATATGGCTGGCTTAAATTAACAGCGTAGCCCTGTGTGCGTCACAGTTGCCTGTGAGCACAGGGACTTCTGCTATTCCTGTCATTCTGCAGCTGCTGTCTGTGTTCATTCACCCTTTGTCACAGCATAAAGATATAAGGACAGAGGTGCTGCTATGTGACATCCTCGTGTCCCGCAGAACCTGGCACCAAAAGTAAGTGGATCGGAAAGGAAAAGTAAGGTTTGGAAAATAGGGAGCCAGAAGCCTACTGGAGAAAACCCTTGCTTATGCCAGGTGCAAGATTCTCTGAGATATTTTCATCAATATCTTACAAATCATTTGTTTTTACATACGTGTGCCTGAGTGAATGTATGTATACCATATGCATGCAGGGGCCTGTGCAGGTCAGAAGAGAGCATCAGATTCCCTGAAACTAGAGTTACAGTGGTTATGAGCTGCTGCATGGGTGCTGGGAACCAAGCCTATGTCTTCTACAAGAACAGTAAGTGCTCTTAACCGCTGAGTCATTTCGCCAGCCTCTTATCAGTTTGACTAAAGCTGAAGTTCTTTGTTGTTGAAAACATACCTAGTGATACAATGATACAAGTATAAACGTAGATAATTGTCTTTCTTTTTTTTCTCCACCTACATTTTTGTTAACGTAGAACTGGGAATTAGACCCAGAGCTCTTTACATGCTAGGCAAGCACCTCTCTACCCAGCTCTCTCTAGTCATTTCTTTTCTTTTATTGATGGGAGTTTTGTGAGATAGAATTAGTCAAAATTGGGACTGAAGATCTACTCAGTGGGTAAAGTGCTTGTGTGAGCCTAAGCCCCACGCAGAATGCTGGCCATGGTGGTGTGCACCAGAACCGCATACCTCTGCCCCATGCAGAATGATGACCAACGTGGTGTGCACCCAGAACCGCATACCTCTGCACTCATGCAGAATGCTGACCAAGGTGGTGTGTACCCATAACTGCATACCTCAGCCCCATGCAGAATGCTGACCAAGGTGGTGTGCACCCATAACCACATACCTCTGCACCCATGCAGAATGCTGGACATGTTGGTGTGTACCCAGAACCACATACCTCTGCCCCATGCAGAATGATGACCAACGTGGTGTGCACCCCTAACCACATACCTCTGCACCCATGCGGAATGCTGGACATGTTGGTGTGCACCCAGAACCACATACCTGGGAAAATGGATAAAGATGGGCGCCCACTGGCCAGCCAGCACAGTCAAAATGGTGGGCTCTTGGTTCAGTGAGAGACTCTGTTGCAAAAGGGGGGAGCAACTAAGAAAGGCTTCTGAAGAACTTGACCTCTGGCCTCCACATATACATAGCATAGGTGAACAACTCCCCCCACATGGACATACATGCATACAATACACACACACAATTTTTTAAAGAATTTCTCAATCTCTGTGATTATTGGACCAACAGTGTGGAGAACAACAATGTGGAGGTTTGTAAGAAAAAAACTCATGATTTAAGCACCCCCAGGGGCGATAATTTCTTTTTTTAGAAAACAATATAAAATCATCGCATATAGGAATACTCAAAGTACATACAGCTTAAGGTATAGGAAAGTGTTCGAGAGGCGGGGCAGTTAATATAAAGAAACATCGTGAGCATGAGCTATCAACCAACTTTCAAAAGCTGGTGGCTGGCTGTGATGTCCTGTCCTAAAGGCTCACTTAACTTTGCATCTGCAATTCTGTGTGCTTTGTACTTTTCTGGAAGCTGACCTTCTAAATGCCATAAGCTTCAGGCCCTACAAAACCTGAATCGGTCCCTTCACGCTGGGAGCATCCATTGTGTAGCCAGATCTCCTGGGAGCTCACCAAGTACTCTGCTTCCAAGACTCAGCTTTAGGATTGGAGCCCAGTGATCCAGGAACAAAAGAACGAGCAATACAGAGAAGACACAAGCCCTTTGGGGTTTGTGAGGCCATTCTGGTTTCAGCACAATTGCTCCTTTCTCTGTGTGGGAGTTTTTTGGGTGTGGATGGCTACAGGACCATACACCATCCATGGCTCCCGTTTATACGTATTTGAGGATCCTGCAACCTCATACACCAGCGTGGAGCTATCCGTCTGAATGCGTTGCAGGTCCAAACAAACAAACTCTTCACATCGTGTTCAAAGTCCTGAAAAGAATTCACCGTTCTCCGGTTGATGGCTCTCCAGCTGGGTGAGAGCGCCCAGCTGTCAGTCATCCCAAAGGCATTCGTCTTTGTGGTGAAGCCCCCTGAGCTGACATCAAAAGTCCGTGGATCCCACAGAGGGGGCTGTAACTCTGCCTATCGGATGAGGTTGCTGTGGTCCAAATGCCACTTCACTCCCCACTTCTGCTTATGCGTCTCCCCCTCCATCCTGGCTTTGGGGGAGGTTGCCATGGTATCCTGGCTTCATCTCCTTTTCGGTTGAACTTGAAAAAAAAAAACCTGTTTGTCCCTTTATGCTCACATATTTTTTAGTTTCGCAGTGGCAGCTGGTGTGCTGGGGAGTGCTGGGGTCTGACGCCGGTTCGAGTGTGTTCCATCCTCTAGAAAGTTCCTGTATGGTAAAACTTGTTCCTAAAATGGCTATGCTGGGTGATGAGACATCTAAGGGTTAGTGAGAGGCCTTATTATTGGAGTGCTGCCTTACAATTGGATTAATGGTTCTGGATTAATTTATTCTCAACCCCCACTCAAAGCCGTTGAGAATAAAATCAATTTCTGAACTACCCTCTGGCTTCCCCATAACTCCGCCGTTCAGATGTCACCCACATGAGCCAACACTGGTGACAGGCCCTTGAATCTCAGTAACTAAGTTACTGAGTTAAGTGAGCTGTTTTCTTTGTAAAGTTCCTTGGCTCCAGGTCCTTTATTACAGCAATAACAAAGTGGGCTAAGGCAAGAGGTGGGATGAACTGATTCTAAGTAGTCATAGGCCATGCTGTTTGCCCTGTTTCCTCGTATCTCCCTCTCCATACAAACAGACTGAGGCTGGAGGATGAGGAGGGGTGGCCTGCTCTACCACCTCTGCTATATTCCCATGAGACAGGGTCTCTCACTGAACCTGGAGCTAGGTCAGGTAGCCAGCACATCCCAGCAATATTCCTATCTCTGCTCACCACAGCTCTGGAGTTAAAAGCGTACATGCCACCAAGTCCAGCTTGTTATGGGGTGTTTGGACCTGAACTCGGATCCTCAGGCTCATACGGTAAGCACTCTTACTCATGGGGCCATTTCTTCGGCCCCATGTTCCTGCTTGCTTGAATATTTTCTGATTAAACATATGATAAACATATGATATATTTATTTCTCTTTTTGAAAACATGACTATTCATCCCATGTTTCCTCTGACCTTTCTTTTTTTATTTTTTATTTTATGGGCATTAGTGTTTTGCCTACATGTTTGTCTATGTGAGGATGTTGGGTGTAATCAGAGACCACGTTCATTTCCTGGCCACCCAGACCCGAATAATCACACAGAAACTATATTAATTACAATACTGTTTGGCCTATTAGCTCAGGCTTCTTCTTAACTAACTCTTATATCTCAAATTAACCCATTTCTATTTTAATCTATGTATCACCATGAGGCTGTGGCCTACTGGTAAGGTTCCGGCATCCGCCTCCTTCGGCAGTTACATGGTGTCTTTTTGACTCTGCCTACTCTCTGTCTTTATCTCTGGTCAGATTTCCTGTCTGGCTATATTCTGCCCTGCCATAGGCCAAAGCAGATTCTTTATTTACTAATGGTAATAAAACATATTCACAGCATACAGAGGGGAATCCTACATCAGTTGGGCTCCCTGGAACTGCAGATACAAACAGTTGTGAGCTGTCATGTGGTTGCTGGGGGTATTTTGAGACAGGGTTTCTCTGTAGCTTTGGAGTCTATCCTGTAACTCGCTCTGTAGACCAGACTGGCCGTGAACTCATAGAGATCCTCCTGTGTTTTTTTTTTTCTTAAAATTTGCTCTCATTTTTTATGTGCAGTGGTGTTTTGTCTGCATATATGTCTGTGTGAGGGTGTCAAGTCCCCTGGAACTAGAGTTACAGATGCTTGTGAGCTGCCATTAGGTGCTTGGATTTGAACCTGGGTCCTCTGCAAGAGCAGCCAGTGGTGGAACTATGTTTTAATGATGGAGAAAGTGAAGTTATCATTTCACTTTCTTTATATTGGTATGTAAAAGGTTTTACTTTCCATGAAATCTGTGATGGTTTGAATGAGAGCGGCCACCATAGGTTCAGATGCGTGAATACTTGGTCCCTGTTTGTTAGAAATGTCTGTGAAGGATTAGGAAATGTGGCCTTGTTGGAGGAAGCAGGCTTTGAGGTTTCAAAAGACAGGTGTCATCCCCATGCCCCCTTTGTTCCACTATCATGGACTCTAATCCTCTGAAACCATAAGCTCCAAAGTGAATGCTCTCCATTGTAAGTTGCTGTGGTCGTGGCGTTTTACCACCAATAGAGAAGTAACACAAGATCTAATTCTCTGCTTTGCCTCTGTTGCTTATGCT